TTTAAGGAGACTTTTAACAATTTAAGGAAATAGAATTTTTGAGGAATTTCTAAGGAATTTTTAGTTTTTATTTAATATTCGAAAATATTGAAATAATGTTTAATTAAAAAATCAGTCAATGTAGCGTTATTTATGCAAAAAATACTTTTTAAAAACGCAGGAAATGCAGTCGTATGCATTCAGGACTGCAAAAATTTTTCGAAGGAGCGACGTCGCGCCCCGTTGACCGCGCGTAAGAAGGGCTCTGGGTAAGAGAATGGTATTTCTGCATAATCGTTTATTTCAAAACTTTAGAAAAGATTTCTGGAAAAACATATTCAATTTGATTGATGAGCTATAACATCCCGATTGTGTATGTATGAATACAGCATTTCTCTGAGGAAAATTTCAGCCATATCACGCCCTAGTTCATTTTGATAGCTGCTTTTTCTTCACACCAAGATTAACGATCCGTGGAACAGATCATCTGTCATTGCAATAAATCAGGGGCCGGTTGTATAAAACTCTTAATCACTTTTTAACCACTATTTTGTAGTTAAAGGACATTGGCAATAAAAAATTAGTTTGTCTCATTCAAAAGAACTCTTAAAATTATATATTAAACTCTATTACCGATTTGTCATACCTTGCTTAGTTCTCGAAATATTTAGACCGAAATTAATGAGCTTTCCGCCATCTTGGAAAAATTATTTACCTCATTAACTATGGTTTTGATGACGTCAGTTTAACCATATAAAACTACTCTAAAATGATCGAATAACAATCCAAAATTGTTTGAAATGTTTTTAATCATTTCTAAATTTCTGACAGCAACCAGAAACGAAGTTTTGGACCCATATTGATCGCTTACTCTCAAGATAAAAAATTAGCGTGACCCCTCTCTTGACGTAACATATCCTCAATAATCCAAGATGGCGAACAGCTCACTTTTTTCAGTGGAGATATTTTGAAAACTAAGCAAGATATAAACAATCTGTAATAGAGTTTAATATATAGTTTGAAGAGTTCTTTCAAATGAACTAAACCAATTTTTTATTGCCAATGTCCTTTAAATAGTGATTAACTCTCAAATCGGCGCTTATTGGATGACATTTCCACTTAACTATGATTAACTTTAATCACTTTTTTATACAACCGGCCCCAGGCCACTGGGTCATTACAAAGTAGACACAAAGTAATTTAAAAATGTTTGGTTATGGCAACCACATTGACCATTGTCACTACTCCCAAACATGTAAATTTGAACTACTGTATTTTAGTATAAAATGTATTATAGCTGATAGTATTCCTTTCTCATAGTCAAGGCTGTTTTCCAGTTCAAGCGATGGTAGCGTAACATGTTTCATTGTTTCCTGAGCACAAAAGAAAATGCTATCATGGTATTGTAAGTGGAAAACAGCCTTTTATGGCCCAGAAGGGAAAATGAACCTTATGTGAAGAATAGACAATTATTAGTAAGGAGAAACAATTTATTCTCTTGTACAAATGTTAAGTTTATTTATACGTAGTTTGCTCTTCTGAAAAATGTGAACTGAGGAATAACATCTAATAATAGTCGAGCATCAAAAATATTTTATACAGTACAATACAACTATTCACTAGCTAAACAGACAGATGTAGATGCTCTGGTTTATTTAAACTAACACTGTGCCATTCTGACTGACAATAAAGCTAAGAACAAAACCGTCTATTTACACTCTAACAATGTAAGTTTTGTGTGTATGATAGGACTCCATGATTTTCTCAGGTACATATTAGTAAGTCAAAGGTGCTGTGTTGGCCAGACGACGCATTCTCCTAAACAAAAAAAGATGAAAGAATACGTAAGACTCTAATCACTCTATCAAACAACATATTTTGTCTCTGGTTTTTGCCATTGCCACAATGAAAGATGACTCTTTTATTTCTTTT